TTATTAGTGGTACTGATTACAAATTCTTGCTTTCTATTTCGAACTGCTGGACTTACTCTTCCTCTTTTTTTTGTAAAGAATCTAGCCATACTAATTAGGTAATTGAATTTTCCAAATTAGTTGAAGTTCAGATACCTAAAAAATAACTAACCACCTGAAATACTTGGTTCACAGGGAACTTCTGTACTTCAATATGACTTTAGGAGCCAAACTTAAATTTTGCTAATGCTCTTGGCCAACGCATTTGTAACCTCTTAATACTAGGACACTCATTAAAGTGTTGCTAGAAAATAGCAGAGGCTTCACATTAAGCAAAAGGCAACATTTCAGAAGGTCTTACAACCCCCACTCTGATCTAAAGGAAAACTGATCTGACTTGGTTAGAGTTTTTATCAGAATTTTTTTTTTTTTTTTTAAATCCTAGTTCGGTGCCATAATACATGCAAAGCTGTGCTTATATAGTTTTTCTAAGATCATGGGATCTACAGCACGTGGTGCTCAAAGAATGCAAGTTGGAGAACTTGAGTCTTTTTCTTTTTCAAATGAGAATACCATTTTTGAAGGAGCAGAGAGCAGAATGCGACTAAAACCGTTAACACAAAAAGCTGCACTTACCACATGATAATATAACACAGGAAAAATAACTTAATAGCAATACTAAAAATGGCCTTGTAAGGGAACCCGTAAATGAATAAAGATACTTCTGCTTTAGAAAGTTTATCAAGCTATGCAAATGTTAAAGTGCAACTATCCCTCTTCCAGAAAAATGTTTACTACCCATTATGAATAAAAACATTCCAAACAGCCCAATGCTTAAACTAGCTAACAAACCTATAATAAACAGTTATGTACAAAGCTTGGCTATTTAATTCCCAGAGCTTTGCCACTAGAGGTTGCATCATCTCCCTACTGCACACCTTTTCAACCTTTGTGACCTAAGGATTTATACCTTCCAAATGGGATTAGCAAACACACACACAAGCCTGGCTGCTTTTCATCATATTAAGATTATTCCAGCTACAATAAATGAATTGAAACATGTAGTGTAATTTATTGGTATAAAATTAAGCGTACAACCTAATTTCTCCATAAGGCTCACAAATTGCCTGTAATGCCTTTTAAGTGTATCTTCTCACAGCAGCAGACTCCTGTGGAATCTGAAATAGCACTTGCCTTACTGGGGTGGAGACAGTGGCTTAAACATGCTTTGCACCTCATAAATGTTTGCTTTGTTTTAATGGGGTTTTATTCTGTTTGAAGAAATTTAAATGAAGAAAAAAAGCCCACTTTTTAGCTATCTTGGATTTTGTGATTTTTTGTGTTACTTTAAATACATTCAAAATACAGAGTATACTCGTTCAACCACAGCAAAAGAGCAAAGCTTTGGCTGGGCCTCTCATACAACATATAAAAGTTCAGATGCAAGACCTTTACTGGCAAGAGATAGCAGTATTATATAAAAGTAGTAAAACACTCGTCAGAAATGTCAAATGTCTTCACACCCCTGCATTTTTTGTGTAAGGATCATTTATTAAGTTAAACTGTTGCAAATAACTGAAATAATTTCATCATATGTCTCCCTATAAATTCAGGGGCTGTTGATATCACAAGTTAAAATAAAACAATATGTTTGTAAAATCTGCAATACTTTACTTCAAAGAACTTACATGTCAGTGTTTGAGGAAGGGGAAGGAAGCTTTCACTTCTACCCTGACATTGCAGCAAGCCACTGAAACTTGACTGTCACGACCCAGCTGTTCCACAGTCGTTGCCTTTTAAAAAGGCTACTTATGTGAACCTACGGAAACATTTCTGCAGTTGGAATGTGATAGTGAGTTATAACAAACATTGCTGCAGTAATGAAATGGGTTACAGGCCTCAGCCCTCAATAACGTCCTGAGTTTACAACCTATGCTAACGTGGCTCTTCTGTCACAAGGCAGTCTAATATTATAGTTTTGTATTATACAGATGCTAAAGTCACCTAAATTATATTCATTAATCTCAGCTTTTGTGACATTATGTGTGATCTAACAGTGTCTCCATGCAGGCCAATCAGGACTTTACCCTATCATTCATCCTATTATGTCTCTACCTCATTCAACAACCTCACAAGAGGTAGCCTCACAATTCATAGAATCATAGAATGGTCTTGGTTGGAAGGGACCTTAAAGATCATCTAGTTCCAACCCCCCTGCCATCAGCAGGGACACCTTCCACTAGACCAGGTTGCTCAAAGCCTCATCCACCCCGGCCTTGAACCCCTCCAGGGAGGGAGCATCCACAACTTCCTTAAGCAACCTGTTCCAGTGTCTGACCACCCTCACAGTAAAGAATTTAATCCTGATATCTAATCTAAACCTAATTAATTACAGAAAATCTAAGTGTTGTTTTGTGGTGGGTTTTTGTTTGTTTGGGTTTTTTTAATGGTTGTTTCCACCAAGGGTACTGCTCACTAAACAAACAAGGAGCTGGTCACTGTCCTTCTCCAACAGCAGCTCTGGACCGAACTCACTGACACACACAACTTTCGGTGCCTTTTCACCATGCAATGTAGTGTTTGTTTAAGGGCCTGTCTATCATAGGCTGCAGCACCCCTCAATCCAAACTCTCTGCACAGCTTTGTTGCACACAAGTGCAGCTATTACAGTTACCACAATTAGAAAACATCTCCCTCACCAAACCAAATATGAAACCAAATGAACCCTTTGGTTTTCAGAAGGCAGATCCCAGTGTTACACACACTGTACATGCAAATTAGGTACACTCATATTTAGCCAACTTCAATCAGCTTGCTTTGCTCTTTCACAGATGTGGTCAGGGTATCTCTTCCTCTGGAGCTTCTCTCACCCCAAAGTTGTCCATGGGATACTAAGCTTACCTTTTTCTTCTTTTCAGACAAGTGTCTATGGGAACTCTTATCTCATCCCCTGAATTCTGAAATTCTCAAATTACCAAGCTCACATATAAAGCAAAAGATAACCATCTTAGACAGCTAGCTTGAGCCACATGCCATAAAGAGTCTTGTTCAGGAGATGTGATGTGCCCAGACTACAGTTCACCTGCCTTCCCTTACATACTGACTAAAATAAATACTGTATAGTCACAGAAAGTAGACCTTAGGACATACCCCTATGACCCCGGGGCATGATCAACAAAATCAAGTGTCTCAGTCTTTGCTGTGTGTCTGCTCTGTTTTCAAAACCTCCAGCAAAGGAATTATCCTCACCCCACCTGGAATAAGCCACTCTCCTCAGCTTAACTAGGTGTATTGTAAGGACACTTTTCTAATGCTTATCTTGCCTTTTAAATGAACAGCCTGTATCTACCATCAACGTGGAGAAAAGGCTGTTCCTACCTTCTCTACAGCAACTTTTTCCATATTTAAAGACTCTTTTCACATTTTCCCTCAGCCTCCTCCTTCTTTGGATTAGAGAAATTGTGCATGCCCCTGCCGTGGAAGTGTTCAAGGCCAGGTTGGATGGGTCTTTGAGCAACTGGGTCTAGTGGAAGGGGTCCCTGCCCATGGCAGGGGTGTTGGAACTAGATGATCTTTAAGGTTCCTTCCAACCCAAACCATTCTATGATCTCTCTTTTGAGTACTTTCTGTCCTCCACACTCTATCCAGCTATTCCTCATCTTTCTCAGGTGCCCTAATGTGGACAGGTACTTCAGGTAAGCCCTTAACACACCTTGGTAACACAGAAATACTACCACGCTTCTCACAGGCTACACTATTGATACATCCCACTATAATGTGTAACTTTTCTGCAGCAATGAGTTAACAGTGCTCAGTTTGTTGTACTCTATACCACCCCTGCCCCAAGACCTTTTATGCAGTGAAAGCCACTCCCTTCTCTGTGCAGCTGACCATTCCTATTCAAGTGTAGTTCCTCACATGCCTTATTTTTCCAAACTATTTTTCCTGTTTTTCATCAGTTTTAATTCAAATCTTGTCTCCTAGTTTGCTGCCGCCCTGTCAGCTTGGCATGCATTACCTAGACTAAGAAAGGAAAAAAAAAAAAAAAAAAAACAAAAAAAGAGTATCACCCCCAACTGAGGACCTACCTCTACATACCCCACAGACAACTTCTGGCAATTTCCCCCCCCCCTTATTCCTTCTATTAAAGCCAGTTTCAGTTTGGAGACTTGCCACATACAGTTAGGGATTTCTAAGGACACATTCCAGTACCCTAAAATGAGCTTTAAAACATCTACTGCTATTTTTTTTTTTAAAAAAAAAGCATTTGGTACAAACAGATTTCTTTCTGCTAAAATTCCTCCCTTTCAAATCTAGTTTTAAATTACTCTAACATGTGGAAGTTCCAAATCTCAACAGCAGTTTTCTAATCACAAAACCATCATATGTTAGCACAGACCTACAAAATCACAGAAATGATTTGAAAGTATTTTGTTGTCTGTTTGGAAGGAGAGTTGCCCTCAGAGTTACTTTGTGACAGAGTCCTCCTTCCTACTCCTTGAGGTTTTTGTCACATTTCCTAATCAATGAAGCTCTGGGTTTTTATAATAATTTAAATTTTTGTCTGAGACCTCCATTGGTAATTAAGGCATCTGGCTTCACAAAAGGAAAGATAAGAAACATTACTAATACAAGTGGTTCAGGAGGGGTTTTTTTGTTGTTTGTTTGCCTGAACAGTTCTAAACTATTTTAAGCTTCATATGTGTTATATGCAGTACATGTAATGTTGCTATAGAGATTTAACTAGCATTTCTTCAGGATGTTCTGCAACTGGTTTGGCCTCTGAACTGCAACCTTTTCAAACTTGTGCTGATACAACAAAGTTTTCATAGTGTGTTCCATGCTAAGTTATCTGTATATACAGGTTTGCTACAAAAGAAACCTGTGATTCATGATAAACCTAGATTAAATACAATTGTGTAAATGTCTCCCATTTAAATGGTGGATGGACACGATTTGAATTGATTATAAGAGAAAAGCATAAACAGTTTGTCACGCATTTGCAAACAGTATGTGGCATGTCAGTTTAGAAAAAATTCATGTTTAATTGCATCCAGAAGATTACAGTAGAAAAGTGCCGGGGTGAGGGATAAGGAGCCTTTCCTTTTCATTCTACCATGGAATAGACTGAAAGAGAAATAATTTTGTCCTTCAACAATAAAAAGTAATCCTTAGCAAGTTCTTGCATTACTTTTCCAAACTGTTCACTGAAACCAAAACAAAGGGCCAAAATGTGCTTGCCTTGCTCAAGAGAATAATCCCACTGAAATCAACAAGACTGACTATGCAAATATGGACAGCAAAGTTTGGCCCCAAATAAACATCCCCATAACGAGGGAAAACACTAGTCACCAAAGTGCACTTATCACCATAGTAGCTACAGTTTCTTTATACATGCACAGTTTGTGCGACACTTTGTACATGAAACTAGCCAATATAAATAAGTGTGCCGCTTCCTTTTAAATATGAACATTAATAATGAAGCACATTCACATTTTTGCCTTTCAAAGACTTTTTTTGAAAAAAATAAACCCACCTTCCCCAAAGTAACCTGAAACACGTTGTTAAATATAGTACATATGATTCGAAGAATGGTATTAAGGTAGAAGAACTTTCACACACAAAACTGGTATTTGCTGTATTGTTGGAGTGACTTATGAAAATCCCAAGAAAAGACAATCCTCTCACCAGGAGAGGAAGGTAACAGTTGTAGTGTTATTTCAGTTTCTTCTGCAGAAGGCTGTTTTTATCTTCAGCGTTTTCAGGGCTGAAGTCAGTACAGATACCATTAGGAGCAGAAAGAGATGCAGTCTGCAAGCCACTCTCAGCTCCCATCTGATCAGTATAGAGATAGTCTTCTGCAAAGTGTGGGTGCAATTCAGCAAATCTGTAGAAGTCATCTACAAAAAAAATTGTTGTTACGCAGTCAGTTCTCTGAAACAGAAGGATGCTAAATTTGAATACTTACACATGTATAATCACATGATCCCTTCAGAGAAAAATAGCAGCAGTTAACATAATGCTAACCCCATAGCTTGTTATAGTTTCTCAGCAGTTTACCACATCCTCCCAGCCAAGATGTTGCAAAGAGTTACCTAAGCCCTCCTTAAAACAATTCAGACCAGAGCTTAGCTTGTAAACAGGTTCAGATTTGCATTAAAATGCATGAGGAGCACCACATGCCCTGACATAGTATCTCACTTTTCACTGGCAGAAGGGCAGAAGCTGAGGGACAATGAACAGCAAGAGCAGTCATTACTTAAAATCTTGTAAGTCTTTTGCAAACATGCCCTTTAATGCTTTGCACTCATAATTATCTTCAACCTAACAGCAGCTGTCATTGCTGCCTTCCACTTTCAAGATTTCAGCATTTCAAAACTCGTAGTGTTTCAGAGAATAATGTTGTGAGAAGATAATTAATTTTTAACACATCATGAAAAAATACAATTTTAATGTTGGATACTAATAAGACAATAAAAAGAGCAAGATTAGTTCTTGGAGGAACGGGGAAGCCTTAACATCAAGAAGTAATATTCTGTGTTAACAATCAGACAATTGAAGCCTTGTCACAATTTGCCTATATGACCGTTTATTCAGACATGATCTGAACACAAGATACTGTACAGGATCTAAGTCATAAGAAGCTATTCTTATAATGTAAACTGACACTGGAAAAAACTGGGTGTGAACATTATCAGTCAGTCACCTACAGTGTATCACAGCCTACTCAAATTCACTGTGTTATCCCACAAGAACCCATGATCAGACAGTGCTGTGAGTTCCCTGGGGTGCAGCACAGATGACAGCTGAAGCAGACTTTCAGAGGAGCGAAGCCCAGTTCCTCCTGGTACAACTGGGCTGGTGTGGAATAAGGAAATGACCCAAGCTTTCCCCCTCCACCAACCTTCTCTGAAATTACATGTTTTTCTTAATACTGCAAAGTGCAAGGGAATGTAATTTGTCTCACGGGGGCACTGCAGTTGTAGGTCAGTCCTGCCTCTGACCGGTTGCAAAGGGATAGATGGGAAGAATGCAATAAACATAACTTCATCCTTCTGCAAACAAAAACATGGATATCCTTTATCCACAGTTCATATGGATCTGAAGTCTTTTGGACACTGTAACTTCAATAGAAGCTGACAATGTCCAGGCCACAAAAATGAGCACTCCCATCTATGCTGAAAAACCTGTATGTACAACAGGCTGATTGATCATGTAAATGGTAAAGTTTTCAGGGGGGAAAAAAAAAAATAAAATCTTAAATGTTTGAAAAGGTATACAGCAATTTTTTTCTTTAAGTAATATTTATTGCAAGTTCAACTTAAAAAAAAATCTCATAGAAAAGAATGTGATGTATCTGACCTTTTCCAAGAAGAAAATGTAGAACTTTTTTATATTTAAAATATTTAATAGTGGTAGTAGTTGTAATAATATATTAGAAACACTTGAGTGCAAACTGATTAATCAGAATCAAAACGGTTAAGCATATTCAGAGATTCCAACTCAGTATATTATTTTTTTTGCAGCTAACAAGGAGAGAGTAATCAGCTATTGGCCTTAACTGGGTCTGGCCTGCAGCAGGAACATGAAAGCATTCCCTTTTTTCACATGAACACTTTAAGCCCATCCCAAGGATCTTTTGTAACAACACATATAATGTGTGCATCACATTAATGACCATGAAAAACCAGTCTTTTTTGGGAAAGGTCATTCTGATAGTTAGCCCAACTAAGGTAAGACAAGTATAAAAATTACAACCAACAGTACAAAGATGCTCTTACAGTCACATTAAGCATAATAAGCATAAGCATAATCCTTTTTGTATGGGAAAGACTAGAATATTTACTGTAGATGCCATTCTAAGTAATTCTTCAAAAAGCTACCGTACCTTTTCAGAAAATCCCTTGAAGTAGTTGTTGACACAAGTATGATAGTCTAGATCCAAATCAGCATCCTGACAACTCTGTCAGGATCCACCTCTCAATGTTTTATCAGTACTGGGTCCAACTGAGAAACCTAAGATGCCAGGGAGGACTGGATTGAACAGGATAACGTTTCTGATAGATCTCAGTAAGCAGACATTTTGGGTCTTACTGAAACAAGTCCTGAAGATATTAAGGAATATTTATCAAAGTTGTACACAGCAGAGCCCAAAGATAAGTGCTTGGGTTCCCAATTGCCTCATTCACCACAAATGTGAGACAAGGCAATGTAGGAAGAATGAGCTATTCCAGCACTACTTCTAATCACAGGCCTCATCTTGGAGCTTAAAGCAACTGTGAAGCATTAGAATGCAGGAAAAGATCACCTTAGTCATTTACTTGGGAAAAAAGTATTTTCAAACATGCTGAAAAATTATTATGGTAGTAGAAAATCTTATATCCTCCTATATTCTGGGAGGGCAGAAGTAGTGGGGAACAGATACTAGAGACAAAACAACAGGACAGAGCTAGTATAGCTTTCTTAAAAATACATATTCACATACAGGTAAGTCGCAGAACAGAATATGCTGAAAGAGTTAATCTAGGTATTGCCTGACTTAACATGGAAGGGAAAATGTCTGAAAACATGTAAATGTGATGTTTGATATTAAAGGTGAAACTAATTTTTTTAAATGTAAATTTACTTTGTCTGCAGTGCTTTTATCATTAAACTAAAAAAATGTAAAATTTAATAAAAAAATAACTGGTTCGTATATCAGCACGAGTTCAGACAACTTTGACATTTTTTGACAGTTCAGATCCACTTAAAATACTTACCATATGTAATCTCTCCTTTTTCTTCTTTATCTACAGCTCTAAAAAGGTGCGTAACATCAATCTGTGACACACCCATGGCAGTCTTCAGAATATGAGCTAAATCCTCTTCTATTATAGTTCCATTTTCTGACTGGTACAGCTAGGAATCAAGACAGCAAGATAAACCATTGTAAAGCTGAATGCTAACTCCTAAAAACAGCACCACACTAAGAAGTTATGCCAAACTAAAATTTGGTATTGTAAGTTCTAGTCACTGGCAGATTGATGTGACCTACTACAGATTTCTGATTAGTGTGGGTAAAGACAGCATTGTTTATTAGTTCACCTGTGTACATTTAGAAACTAAAGCTTGCTATATTTAGAAAAAACCCTATGTTTATATGCCTAAGCACTGTCATTTCAGTGATATTCAGATACAAGACTGTTTTACACTAACAGTTTTGCAGATACATATCTGAGAATAATTTTTAATCCATTGAGCTATGTGTCTAAACTCCAAGAGTCTGTGGAATCAGGAAATGTATTTAGGTCAGCCTAAAGCAGATACCAGTTCTAGTTGTTCAGATGTAAAACTCAAGATTCCTTTGACCAACATCCAACTGATTCAACACTCAGTTTGCATAAAATGCCTACATCTAAATAGCATTGTATTAATCAGGAGAATGCTACCCTATAAAGCAATGGGCCTATAATTTTCTACAAATACTTATTTAAAATTCTAGAGAATAACAGTTTGCATATTCTTAAGTCCTGAATCAAAGAATTTACTCAAGACAGAGTTAGCTTTACTACTGACAGAAGACTGATAACTAAAAATAGTTGTTCATAGTCTCATTCTGTCTTTGTATAGGTACAGTGTTTTGCCCTGAAAAAAGAGCTCAAGTATTTCAAAATATCTATAACAAATACAACTTCATGAAACTTTTTAAAATAACTCAATTTGCCTGTGCAATGGAAATAGAGACAGAAGAGTTTTTGAAACATCCTTGTCTCATTTTTAAGTATGACAACACTGCGAATATTGAATCACACTAAAGAAATGCTATTTTGGAAACTTCCTTTTCATTTCTCTACATCGTTGAGAAGGTGGGAACTGATGAGATTGAACAAAACAGGCATAAGGATGTATTTTTCACACAAGCAGAAGTTGCTGCCACAAGACAGCACACTTCAATGGAATAAAGAGACAGCAGAGTAAAAAAAACCAAAAAAAGTACCATGGAAGACAACACGCGCTCAAATCAGGAATATTGCCTTTTTCTCCCTAGCACCTAACTTGCACGCTGTTTCACAAGGAGTAGGGGCAAGGACAAGACACTTGTTTAATAAAACCTGCTATATTTTCACAGATCAAGTAGTCAGAAGGTGATACTTGATGGTAAGGCTCACAAGTGCCATATTGGCAAGACTTACAATGCTTTTTCATTTCCTTAGCAATGAGGAAGTGAGGATGTTTAGCACTTACACTGAAGTGCTGCTCTGAGACTTGATTCCCATAATCCTCCCTTCTCTTTTAACTACCCATCACCTTAGAATTGTGGTGGCTCAGTAACCCCTATTTTTCAAGTTCTTCAACCATATACTAAAAAATTCCACTTTGAAAACTTGTTCAGCTATGAGAAACATTGCACTTAATCCCCCAAAACAAATGACAAGATGCTCTGGAAAAAGTAGCACATGGCAAAGGATGGCAACTGTTCAAAGGCACACATTCATGAACTGTCTAGATCTTCCAGTGGCTCCCAATAAGCTGGGTGAATATCTCACTGTACTTGAATCTAGGAAAGGGAGGGAAGAAATAATAATAAAAAAGCTTCTCTTTTTCTAGAATACTGTAAGCAAAATTTCCCCCCAGCTTGAGACTTCTTTAACTCTGCCAATCATCAGGATAAAATTAGCTGCTTCCCCTTCTTCATACATGCACAGAACTTCTTTGCAGTTCTACAGTTAACTTGATATTTTGTAATTAACCAGGGAACTCAAAATTATATATTATGACTTGAAGAATAGAGCAGATAGTGAAGAACAGAATTTTAAGAACAGATCTATTAACTTAAAGTTTGGTGTTTCCAAAAAGAAAATAATAACCTAATCTGAGCTTTTCTTCCTCTAAAGTGGTAAAAGTATATATTGCACATTATGTATTATGACAGCTAAATTTCACTGAAATCCTGCCCAAAAGCAGCCTTCAAGTTTACTTTAAGTTTGTTCATTTCAATATGAAGAGACAGAGCTGACCATTTCTCTACACCATTATATAGATCAAATAGAATAAGTAAGGGCAGAGACCTTTCTGCTTTTCCCTGAGAAGTAACAGTAAGTAACAGCAGCTACAGTATTTGTAGGAACTAAGTATTTTTGTTCCTCCCTTCTTTGTCAATTTTTTTTTATACTGGCCAAAGGGTAAGAATGATACATGTGAACTCTAAACATTCACAGGAGTCCCATTTCTTTAGCAAAACATAGTAAGAGAACAATACAGATATGTGCTGAAGAACCTGAAAACAACCACTTAGAAAATAAGGTTGCCATGTAGTATCATGCAAATGAATGTTCTCAACTCCATGCATTCACCAGCGATGACAGCATCAAGAGTTAGCACTCCTCAGTTTCAGTAACACTAAAGACCATATGAGTTCAAGGCAAAGGGAAGAGATGATGCAGGATGCAGCAGACTTTGCATGTTGAAATAGAAATATTAAAGAAATTAATTAAAAAGTAATAAATCAAGGTGTCAGACAAACCCACCAAATGGCAAACATTAAGTATTGCTGCTGTCACTTTCCCCAAAAGCCTGCATTAACCATCTATGCTGATGCTACAACAAACCACTGAGGCTAGAACGAGATCAGGAACCCTTCTGGAAAGCATAAAGTCTGGGTAGAGACTTCAGGACCAACACAGAAACACGGTAAGACTAAGATGGAAGAAACTCTTATCAAGCAGATAAAAGGGAGTGAAAAGTTTAGTCTCCATTGAAGCGCAGGAAAAGTTTTAAAATATGTTATTTGATTGAAGATTTGATTGAAACATTACAAAAGTATTAAGCACAACTTACTAGCATTTAGTTTAGAGGAATCAATATAAAGGACTTCAAGTCTGAGACTCAATGTGCTGAAAAAGATTCTACCAGAGCTCTACAAAGAACAATTTCAAACTGCAAACTTCCATAATTTTACATGACTTAAACTTGCAGTGTATTCCCTCTGAACATGACCTCTTAATCTACCTTTCCGTGAATGTTATTTTAAAATGTAATTAAGTATTAAAGGGACATGTGAAACAAGCTTCTCTTAAGTCTAATGGTAGCATTAATTTCTAAACAAAAACCCCCCCAAAAAACCAACCAACCAAAAAAAAAAAAAAAAACTACATAGAAGAAGAAAATGCTGCTTACCTGAAATGCCAACTGAATTGTTTCCAGAGTTCTGGATGGCTTACAGACAACTGACAGAGCAATGACAAATTCCCGAATGTCAATTATGCCATCTTCATTCTGTGAAGGAAAACCTCACCTCAAAACTACTGCAATTTGTCTGAGAACTTTCATAAATAACTAACAGTTGCTAAAGATGTAGAATACTCAGAAAGATCATTATGTACACCACTGCAAAAGAAGTCTTACTAAAATTCAGGGTAAGAACCTGCATCATAGCTCTGCAGGCCCTTTTCAGAATCTCAGTCAGAAATCATAATTCAAAGATTCTTAGAAGACAGTGCTGTTACAGTCACCCTTCACTTACATATTTAAGAGTTTTATGTTAAACCATCTGAATTACTGGGCTGAAATTAAAATCTGAGAACGAGAGGGCAAGGCAGCCTAATTTAAGCTCTGAATACATGACTATTTGGTCTAAAAGAGAACACTGTGGACATATCCATCTCCTGGTCCAAACAGCACCTCACTGAGACAAAGATAACAGCCATTTCCCCATCCTGATTGATTGCCAGAAGAATGAAAAACTAGTTCATCTGCCAAGCTCCTTGGCCGCTCAGGTTTCAGGCATCCTAGAAGAACAAGTGATGTATTTACAAGGTAAGTGAAACATCAGCTAATAGGCATTGCATTCAGTTGCAGCAAGCCACAGCAGAGGTTTAGCCTGAACCCATCTTTCTTCCTCTTCATATTTCGCATCTAGAAAGTCAGTTTTGTCCAACTGATACTCCTTTTAACTTCTACCCTGAAAGAATGCTTTATGTGGTTGATGATAGGTGCTCTTATCCTGCTGTAAAGGAAATGCAGTAGGAAAATACTGTGGCGAAGTGCTCAAAAGCACTTGGCACTGGCCTAAATCAGACCTCAGTGAATTCAACTGGAACAGAATAAGGCCTAAGCGAAGTTTACCAGAAGTCGTACAATTTTTAAATATGATGTTTCTTACCTCATCAAAAAGTGCAAACATACTTTCTAATGTCTGAGAAACTGGAAATTCCAAGTATGCTGAAAATTCGTTAAGATCAATCTTTTCTTTTTTCATTTTCATGGCACTTGCAGCATATTTATCAAGATCATCTTCAAGCGTTTCTGGCTTCAGCCTAGAAAGCATACCATTTTTGCACATTTTTAAAAATAAACCCAGTTTTAACAATACAAATTTCAATAAACCAAATGAAGCAATGGATGATAATGGTGTAAAAACATCACAAAAAGTGGAATCAGAATTACTAAGTAATTTTATTATAAAACAATGTATTCCTGTAATTTTAAGGCTCCCATTAGTTCTTAAACTGTTTTAGAAATTACTGCAAGGGCTTATGAACCCTGTTCATAAACTTTCGTCCTTTATTCTACTTTGATTATAAGCCGTATGTGTAAGCAGTTCAACATGAAACAAGAAACTAGCTAATAAGAAATACAAGGCATGGAGGATTAGGTGGGATTTAGGTCTTCTGAATATGGCTGTATTGTAGGACAGTAACATAAACTAATTATGATTCCAAATTTACTAATGTCACTGAACAGGAAAGACATGATACATCCTGCCTAAAAGAAATCAAGTATTACATAATAGCGATTATACCGTTAATCCTGTTTGTCAGTCCTCATTTTTCACATTCAGCCTGGAGTTGGACACCATTACGAGGTAACCCAAACAAAACTATAGCAATTAGTACAGCTACAGAAATCCCCTCAGTCCTTTCCAATTGTAAGACCAGACTCTGACTGATGAATGAACAGCTTTATATTTATGCAGGTATCTACTGCATGGTTGGGTTTTTTTGTTGGGCATTTTTTTTTTCCTGTTTTCGCTTTGAGAAAATAAATCTTACTATGAACATAATAAACAGTGCTACAGGTATGTGGGGAAAAGTTCCCTCTCTAATACAACATCAACCAATTCTTGATCAGCAGGTTTCCTCTGAACTGATTCAGGGTAACATGGGCATCAGAACTTTCCAATCTGAAGGCAAAACAAGCTAGTAAAGTCTTCTACAATATTCTTCTGTAGTTGTCTGTTTTGCTGTTTGCTGCTGCAGACAAGGAAAGGTAGTTATTTACAGGACTCAGAAGCTTATACCAGAATTGTTCCCAGACTGTAGCTGGGACTGCTCAGCAGCTTCCTTTCAGTAACAAGAATGAATAAAATACTTAATATCAGCATTCTCAGGAGCTTCTGAAAAAAGTAAGAGCATCTCTGATAGGAAGATTATCTGATACATCCAGCTCCAGACCTTGATCACTTTCTGAAATCATCCTTCCTAAAAGTCATTGCTTTTACGTAAAAACATAACTACTATGCTGTCTGCCATGACCAAAACTGACTTACCAAAAATATACTAACTAAACAATGCCAAGCCCTTTATTTCTGAATTCTAAGACCTCAACATTCAAGAATTCTTTCAGAGACCCACGGCCCCTGCAGAACATTCATATGTTCTCCATACTGGCATTAAAACACCTATCTTAAGTTCTGGTCCTGGACAGTATAAAAAGAGCAGCAAAACATTCCTTTTCCATGATCAAGTAGAAAAGTAGCATGAACAAATAACAAAGGAATCCAGGGAGGATTTGAGATGCACACAGAACTCTGCTGCTCACATGCAGGATTACATACAAGAAGTGTCCACAGATAATACATCCCCACTGTAGTAGCCAAAATGGATTTTAACTGTAGGATGAAGGACAGCTGGCATTCAAATCCTCCCTTGAGATAAGCCACCACTGACACAGAATATGCAATCTAACATCTGCCTGTAAATCAGAGAGATTTGATTTGCAGTGAATTGACTCAAAATTCACATTCTAGAACTGACTGAGTACTTGTTTGGTGAGCAGTATCCGAGACTTGGGAGATCTCCTCTTCAGCAGTCAATTAAGTCCAAAAAGCTAAAAACTCTGAATCACAGAATCACAGAATGTCAGGGATTGGAAGGGACCTCGGAAGATCATCTAGTCCAATCCCCCTGCCGGAGCAGGAACCTAAATGAGATCACACAGGAAGGCATCCAGGCGGGTCCTGAATGTCTCCAGAGAAGGAGATGCCACAACCTCCCTGGGCAACCTGTTCCAGTGCTCCGTCACCCTCACTGTAAAGAAGTTTCTTCTCAAAGAAGAAGGCAAAACCTTGTATGGAAAGCAGCATGGCTTACCACAAATCTTACAGACATCTAGTGGTTTGGATTTTAGAAATCTAAAAAGAGATGCAAGTTAATCTTATAAAGAGTATGTGGATCAGTGAGGCAAACTTACTGCTTCAGCTTGAGACTGCACTGTCCTTCTGGTAATCTGACGGGGGCTTACTTCCCTCAAGCCCTTTCAGAATCAAAAAGTAATTGATGCATGCATGGCCATGACTATGCTGAAGTTTTTCTGAATTCAAGTGTTCCAAATCCCACAATAGGTTCTGAACAAATGTGAAATGGATTGAATGTCTCAATTCCTTCAAAATTGTTACTTTTATCCCAGTGGACACTATAAAAGCTAGAAAGCCAACAGTAGGCATCTTTGCCCATGAAATCATGCTTATTTGGCTAACGTTTCCATGCAGGATCTAGGTTTATGATATGTAACATTATTTGCTGTTGTGGTGTTTTGCTTAATTATTTAGGCCAGGGCACAACAAAGAGAACAAAAACTCATTCCTGAGTCCCTGAAGATGGAAAGGACATTTTTAAAGATTAACAGCGCTGACCATTAAATCCTTCACAAGGAAAACCAGATCCCTGAAGGCAGGATATTTTCAGGATAATCACCACTATTTTTAGCAAGTGTGATGTCTTACCTCCTTAAAGCTAGTTTTAGCTGTATTTGACCATTTGAGAATAAACTCCTTTCTTGCATGCTGGGAAACTGCCAAAAAACTAATAGTGTTTCACAGAGCTGAAGTTGCATAAGAACAGCTGGATCTTGTAGCTAGCTACTGTAAACTCCAAGTTCAGAGAAACATGTCCTAAGCCAGAAAAACGCAAGGCACTCAGTTTTATGTCTGATGATGTACTTCTGTGCAACTTTTTGTCATAATGGAGAGAGGATACCGAACAGCTGCAAAACTGATCCTGATCCATGAGGCAGGGGCTATCATGGTTGGTCTTTGCTATATGTTAAGCCTGATCCATGATCACCTCCTGTAACGGACAGTATTGCTTTTATCATTAATGCAGATGGACAACATCCTCTAGAAGTTTTTTTTGTTGTTACAGATGATCTCTGAACACTTTGAAGTCACGGCACTGGTAATTATCTGTGAGGGGTTATTACTTTGGGGATGCAAAGCTCTGCCTACAATGTGGACCACCATTTCAGGCGCTCATAGACAGCAGAAGCTGGCATTGTAGTTTGGATGGTAAGGGCTGTTGAGAAAGAATAGACAGACATCAAGCCTATGAAGTAATTATGTCCTCCTTGTAGATCTTAACAAGCCTATAGGGGCATTGCCTAGTAGGATCCTTGTGGATGAGATAATATTGCAAAGTAGTGGTCAAAATGGAACTGCTGTTTAATTCAGGTCATTCTTACTAAAATACTTCCAGGACAGACATCACTAGTAGGCATCACATGGGTACAAGATGCCAATAATACTCAGGCAAGCAAAGCATATAGTTAAGGATCCAAAAATAATTCCAAAATAAATTGCTGCCCATTGTTAAAGATAAAAATTACTGACTAAAAGTAATCCTACTGAGAAAGCCAGGAAATCTAGAAGGCAAGAACAGGGGAATTTTTCTGAAATGTAACCTGAAAAAGATGATTAGGTGCAAACACGTACCTTTTAAAAGCAGTGGATATAAGCAAAGCCATATTTTCTTCAGTGAAAATTACGAAGAACCTCAGAGTCTGTCTACTAAATGCATACACCAGATCAAGAACCTGCCAAACCAAAGGGTCTTTTGCCACTCAGAATAATATGGTATGATGATGAACATGCATTTTATGTTCTTGCCGTATTTTCTATACTTACTGCTTTCTGATGCACAAAGTGGAAGCCAACTACCATAATGAAAGAGAAAACGTGCCATCTTTTACAAATATCAGCGTTGCCTAGCCTCAAAAAAAAACCCAATGAAACAAACCAAACTGAAACCCAACAACAAACCAGCACAGCCAGAAAAAAATAAATGAAAAAAAAAAAATTATCTTTAAATTAAAGAGAAGAGATACCTCTAATTTTCACAAAATAAAACAATGAAAACTGAGAATAATCACAACTAAAAAAGTCACTTGACTGAAAACTGAGAATTCTCTAAGGAGCTACTGATAGCCTAAAAGCCATGTTTCCATAAGAAAGGGGAACAAAAATTAAGGCTAGAAGGTCCTTGTAGTTCATGTAAAAAGAGAATGCAGGAATTAGAATGAACAAGAGTTTGAGACAATAGGAACGAATCAATTCAAATCAGAATTTAAGGATCTCTTAAAGCAGCTCATAAAAAGTATCTCATAAAAAGATGGAGATGAGACTTAATTATACTGTACTAGCACTTTCTGAAGGAGAAGATATCCGAAGAGGCACATCAGTGCCTCTTCAGTAAGGCACAAAATCCAAACAAGCTTCTATGTCTAGAACGTGGTAATAGATCCAGTCAAAGTACAAGTCGAGAATAACTTTAAACAGTGGGGTAATTAATTGTGGAACAAATCATCAAATGAAGCAGAGGATTTACAACGTATGAAAGCTACAACAAAGACTGCATATAGCTTAGTAATCAGCTCACTGCTCAGACACAGATTATCAGGCTCAACAGAAGCATAATTGCTTGAGGACAAACGAATACAGAATTTGAGAAAAATGAGACTATGATCAATTGATCTCATTGATACAGCAGTCATTTTACCACAGAGTTCAGTACAAGGCAGCTGAGTTTCAGCCAGCTGTGAGCTGGCAGCTGTAGAGCTGTGTTAACAGAGCCCAAACTCTTCATTAGATGAAGCATGAGAACTCCCTGCTGTGGCTGCACGGCTTCTGGATTGGATCCCATCCAGCTGAGCACAGACTAAGCAAATTTTACAGAAAATGTTAATGAACCCTGTAGATATCTAACATGAACGGAAATAACTCTCTAGTGTAGTAAACTGAGGTATAACTTGATTTCAAAGAATCTAAACCAGAAATAAGCCTGGATTTGCCTTACTATAAAAATCTTGCATTTAACACTGGATGTTACCTTGAAGGTATTTTATTGCTCAAAAACAAATATCAAGACTGGATGCAAAATCCACTGGATAAAATTTACTGTTCCACTTACTTAAGGACTGGATGATTTTAACGTCTCCCTGGCCTCAAAACTTTTCAATAAACAGCAAAATGACTGCATTGCCATAAAATGTGCATTAGAGATGAAGTCATATTACAATCTTCATCCAATTGTGCCAGAAAAATACCATCATAATAGCCTTCTTGCTGGCACATATCTAAATCAAGACAGGATAATATTTCACCAATGCACAACTGCTCAAACCAGATGGAGAACTTTCAGGTTGTGGAGAACCTCACTTAAAAATGCAAGTAATTGTTTTAGAGGCCAAAACAAAAACCCAGAAAAACATCATTTGAAAGAACAGCTTTCAATTGAGCAGACAGAAGCCAGACAATTTAACAAGAGGATTAAACTGAATCCCAGGATTATCAACTGCATAATAAAATAAATAACGAGTGGGAGTTTTTTTGTTTGCCTTTTTTTTTTTTTCTTTTGTTTCCTCCTTAGCACTGTGAATTCAGAGCCTTTGGAACAAAGCAGGAATCTTTGTTTCCCCTTAGAAGTCTCTCCTGTCCTACTGGAAGTCTTTTTAGACAGAGGTCCCAACAATGAGTTAATATATGCCTGTCATCTGAATGCATAATGCATGTTGTCCTGCATTCCTATTCTTCAATATGTCTTTGTTTTATTTTTTTTCATTTATGTGTACAAGCTGGAAGATGGAGTGATTACGGAAAAGTGAAAGGAAATAAAGTACAGAATGGAAACATGAAACTATGCTCTATACTTTCAGGTGAGGATACAAAAAATGGAAAAGGGTGTTTGTATATTAAAGCAATTAATAGGATGAGGCTGTAAATTTAGTTTGTGGCTGTTCAATAGGATGAGAGGAAAAATAGAAGAAAAAAGTGGAAAACAGCAGCAAGTAGTTCAATACTTTAAGTGAATTTTTTCACTGTTTGCTTTTTGGAAAGGTAAGGCTAGAGGGAACTGACACTACGAGAAAAGAGAAGCCACTGCATATACTAAGTTATAGTTTTATTAGAAAGTCCATCTAGCAGTAAACTACTCAAAAGATCAACCACTTCTTTGTGCTCCTTGGGAAAGAGAGACCCCTCTGCCCTCCCTATTATAATGTTAATCCACAAGACTGCTATGGCAGCACTGTTCTCCCTTCATAGATGTCACAGGAAAGGGCAATTGACTCTCAACTGTATAAAATATTAGGAATCCCACAGTATTCCTGGCCCTTTTCAGGAGATGGCTTCTAGTTCTGTTCAGGAATGAACACTTCAGACACACTCTGCTCACTTGTTCAACTGTGAAAATGGAATTTTACAATCTACTCATTAAGATTTAAGGGTGCTGCTTATATGAAAGAAAAGCTTTATAAACCTAGATATATAATAAACATGCATCTTACATATAAATATTGTATATGCTCACCCAAGGCTTCTCACAAGCTTTGCAAATTCTAAAAGACACGTGTCTGAAGGCAGACGAAGTTGTCCTTCAGCCAAAGCTAGCTGACAGTCTTCAAATGTATAATCTGTCACTGGAACTCCCAACGCCCTTGAATAAACCAAAGAAAAACAGTAAGCAAGATAATCTAAAAGACCAAGCAGAATCATCACTTTATTTTGTAGCAAGACATCCTGTAACACTGATGCTCTCTGTTCTGAAGAACTATAAGGAAGAGCCCAGAAAAGAAAGTTCACACATGAAAGAATTAAATATGGTACACTACCCATTGCAGAACATCTATTTGGACTTTACAAGTACATGAAAATAAAAAAAGAACACAATGGAAAAACTAGGTAGTGCATAGACTTTCAAATTCCTTAATATTTTCATAGAAGTGAGTAACAAGGCTTTCAAAATAATTAATCTAGAACAAAAATAAATATTTATTAATAATGTTAAATAATTACATTATTATTTCACTAACATATTAATAAATCAATAATCACCTGAGCAGATTAACTATCACCTGCAGGTAACATTAAAATTATACAACAGACAACATTTCTCTATAAAGAATGACTAGAATATAAAGTATAGAAGCAAGCAGAGTTAAGCTCCAAGCATATACAAGTTATTTTTAAATGTATGACATAAGACAAAAAGAAGAAAAAGTATTCCCAAATTTTTATATGCCAAACAATTAAGTACTCATTTTTGTTTTACTTCTAACTTGATGCTCTGTAGAAATAGCAGCACCATAAGATACTTCAAGGAAATCCCGATATTGTCGTTACACTGCATTTGCTGTGCCAAAGTTGAGAGAAAGACACTTTGGTTTGGAAGAGGCCTTTAAGAATCCAGTGTACAAACATAAGATGCAATTTAGAAAGCAAACACTGCTATGAGTTACTCATCTGCCATGTTTTCCATTATACTTTATTTTACTTGTATTAGTACAGAATGTTCTCTCCTTTGTGCAGTCTTTTCTGGTTTGATGGAGTCTTCACAGAATTTTTTTCTTGACTTTCTTTCTTTTAATCTACAGGTTTTTATACCTTACTGATAACAACCTTTTTAGTTTGTGAAGTTAATATACAGTAATGGCAAGATTGCTACGAAGCCCCAAGGTATGCCACAGCCATTTTGGCTTTGATGAAAACTCTGCATTCAATTTTCTGCGCTTTATTATAGATAGTTTGATCTGTAATGGCAGTTACCTCTCATGCAATAACCACTTAATTTCTGTTAAATAGCCTCTTCCTCAGAATCTCGTTACAAGACCTTTGAATGACAATGTAAATAACAAACCAGTTCTCTTTTATCTACCAATTAGTAGATAAATCTACTTCTGCCTTCAGATTGGTAGATTCGTCAAATAGGAGGAATTCTAATACATTACCAAGACACACACTTAATGTTAAAGCTACTGATCAGGGTTTCTCTCTTCTCTCTAAGGCTCAGAAAGTAAAATTATTCAGGAAGAACACCTCACTATTAGATATTCAAGCTCAAAAGTACCAAATACATTAAAAATAGATATTATTTATAACCTACTTATTAATAAAACAAGGACCTACAGGGTAGTGATTTTGGATGAACAGCCTCTCCCTTGCAAGAAGAAACAATAAATAGAAAGGAACAAAAGGAAAAAGCCAACTAAACCAGAAACATATACTGGTACATCGAAAAGGCATCTTAAAATCCTGCATGCTGTTGAAGGCTAGACTGCCTTATATGGATGATCCTAAGCAATTAATTTCCTCCACATTTTTCACTTGATCTGTTCCTGTTTCATCACTCTGCTCCTCCTATGAAGAGTGTGCTAATAGTATTTACAAATGAGTAAACCACCTTAATGGAATGGACAAGAGGTTTTTGCAATACCATATTTCATCCCATTATGGCTAACAATGTTTTGTAAAACTCCATCTGAGGAACTCCCCCATGCTGTGGGGATTTAAATTCATTTCCAAGTTCCACCTGACTTAGAGATCAGGTATTGCAGGTCTTGTCAACACTTTTATTATATGGTATTCAATACAGTGTTGTATTATACAATATGTAATCATTGGCATGATTACATACAATACAAATTAATACAATATTAATATTGTATAATACAAATTTAATATTCCAATATAATTGGAATACAAAATTAATATTCCTCGGAAGAAGAGAAAGGGGTGGATGAAAGAAGGAGAGTCTATCCTGCCAGTTTAGATTACTGCAAAATTAATTTTCCTCAGAAGAAGAGAAAGGGGTGGATGAAAGGAGAGTCTATCCTGCCAGTTTAGATTACTTCCTAGTCTCTTCTGTTGTACTGTGTGCACACTACATCATCCTTATAAACTTCCCTGTCAACTGCCAGTGACATAGCTGAACTCCTCAGGCAGCAAGGACACACTCTAAGCAGTACTAACCCAAGCTGCTTACATAAAAGAATGTGGTAATAACCAATGATCTTATCCAGTCAGGCACATTACACTAAATTTCATCAGGTCATAAGGCAACAGTAGGTATAGCACACAACAGAAATACAGGAACTTACAGGCAATCAGCTGAAACATAGGGCAGCCACACAGAAAAGGAGAAGCTGGTTAAAAATAAGTTAAAAGAAGAAACTGAAAGGGCAAAGTGTTCATTTGTGGTACAAAGTGACACACCATATTAGAGAATCAGAAGAAGTGGCAAGACACCAAAAAGAGTCTGAAAGGACAAAAAAAAAATCCAGTATGACTCGGCAACTGATCAAAGGTGGCAATGAGAATGAAAAGTGGTTTTTTCATTTAAAAAAAAAAATTCTCTCAAGGAAAACAGAGAAGACAGACAAGTTAAGACATAACCATAAGGTGGCAAGACAAAGCAAGAAACAATAACTTGTTAAAACTAAAATCTAGAAGCTTTTCAAACACATCAAAAGGGAGATGAGTGAGAAAGATCAAGCCACTCAACCTGGGGTGAGGGTAGAAGCCTGACTGACTGCCATCCCAGAACCAATGCCAGGTTTAAATAATTTATCCTAAATAATGGTCCCCAAACATGTTGATGGAATGTAGCCAAAGAAGAATTTAAAAACAACCAAACCAAAACCAAACCCCAAACTTACAATACAGAACAAATTCCAAACAAAAGCAGGGATCACCTCAGACTCAGTCAAATCATAATTGGAAAATACAACATGCCTCTTAGTATAGCTGTATGCACCCCTTACGCTATTTGGGCCACACTTACAGTGCTATCAGTACATGAAAATTCCGACTACAATTAATGCCAGCATGTATGCCCAGTATCAACACATACACAAAACATGATTGAGAATAAAAACATTTTCTCTTGCTCACCTATTGGCAATCCTCCAGCCTTTGGGCTTCCAAAAAAAGCAAAATTAACTGAAACAGTGTGTTTATATACACATATAGACTTTCAGAAGTATGACGATCAGAAGTAAAGAAGGAAAAGAAACAAATTTTGCTCACAGTAAAGTTCAGTCATAGGATCAACCAAGGCCAGATAAGAGCCCCTTGAACTCTAATTTGAGCTCAGAAGATAAATCACAAGGTGTACAGGGCTAGCAGTTTAACACAAAAGGACCCTGATTTCAGCTCAGAATGATGAAGAAACCAAAGCTAGGGAACACAAGTTCGTTATTTATGCTAAGACTTGTGAATTTTTCAATTTCTTAAGAATAAAGACTGGCATACTGGAGTTCACTATAAAGCCTGGGTGAAACTTCAACTCACAGGATTTTCTACAGAACTGGTTGCCAAACTATTCCAACTCATCTCCACGACAGTCTTTCTCTACTTCAATTCAACTGCTAAGAAGAAAAAAATAAATAAAAAATTGTTTCAATTTGAGATTTGAGATGCAAAATGCAAGTGCAATCCAGTGTTTTTAATAAACTAGGAATATAACAGTTTTTCCCATATCTTCATTTAGAAGCATTTTTTTTTCCTATTTTCTTCATACTACCTCTGCTTTTACAGTCAGTTAACCTGAGCCTGGTCATTTTAATGTTCAGCAATTTTATATGGTTAGATGTGCATGTTTGGCTTGACATACCTTAAGACTTTCTCCCTGTCTACCTTCTCTGAAATGCTTTCATGATATCACACTACATGAAATTCTAAAGTCAGCAAGTAACTTAAAAATAAAACCAAAACAAAAGGAAACAAAACCCCAAAAGCCTTCTTGCAAACCCAATCTGTTACATTTAACAGTTGTACTTGTTATATCCTTCTCACACCAAACAGTTCCCTATGTCTAATGCTTGTGCTATCATAATATAAAAATAATCAACTTCCATTTTCTGCATACTAATCCACTACACATACAAAATTCTGAACACAAAATAGAATGTGACTGCTGTAATATTATGCAAAGTGAGAGAAAATAGTACAGGCAATATTGTGACATTCTTAATCTACACTTAAACAAAAACACTTTCAAAATGTTTTACACTGTTAATAAGCAGAACTGTGAACTAATCTAGAAAATATTCCATAGGCTGCTGAAAAAACTCTTTAAATTTAGTATAATCTTTATATGGTGCTGAATACATTAAAAGGACAGCAAATTTGTTATTTTACTTCACTATCAGATGTTTAGGAAAAAGACATACAAAACATGGGAGACAAATAAGCCCAGCTTCTAGTAGTCATTTGTATAGGAATTTCCTGAACCAGAGACTATTTTGTACCACTGCAGTTTAGAATCATTGATGGACCAAATTTTTTACAGTATATCTCAGCTCTGATGAATTAATTTTATGCATCTGGTAGTGAATGCCACAATTTTGTACATGTTTTAAAATGTATTTCCATTTCCTTTTAGCTGATCTACTGTCAAGTGCTTTCTATCTCTTCTGCTATGGAAAGTAACAGACTTGCCTTACTATGCATTTCCAGAACACTCATGATTTTACTGACCTTCAAAACAACCCTCCATTATTTTTTTTGTTTCTCTTTTTCTTTATTTCTTTCCCAAGCTGAAGAGCTTTCTCCTATTTAGTATTGGAAGGCCATGTAGATAGCTCCTTCCCTCTTCTTGGACTACTCCTACTTTGTGACATTCTTCAAGGAAACGAAGATCCAGTCATAAGAGTCTGG